GAAGAGGAATACGAGCACATTCTTGTATTAAAGCTTGAATTCTGTTATTCTTACGATGGACGTGATACTTTTCTGTTGCGTTTTCAAGTACAGTTTACATTAAATTTAGAGATATGTCAAAGTGTGTATAGAGTATAAAAAGAATTATTTGTTCGAACTATATATAAATATTTGTGTAAATTATATTAATATATATAACAATCAATTTATAGAACTGATTATCATCCTGTTATATCGTTTTTTTATCAATTTAGACTAATAAATATTACAATTATAGATTTATCCTTTTTTACGCAAACTTTTTCCTAGTACATCGTACAATGTGCCTGCGTTTCCAACCATGCATACGTCGCAAATTACATTTTGATTGATTTACAACATTAATTCTCGAGTGTTACTCGTGGATGATACGCGTGCCGCGAAAAATATGTTGCGGCGATTTTCAGCCAGATACGTTTCGATTAACAGAAAAATTGTTTCCGTTTATTTTTATTCTGCCTCGTTTGTCAGACTCACCGTATTTTTTATCACCCGTGCATTTCGCGCGTACTAATATCACTCTCTAAATACGTATGTAGCACTTTGGCTACGCAAATATTTTCCATATCGCCGAAAATATTTTTAATACGATTCCGGATAGAGTGCGACCGCGTTATATTTTTTAAAATTGTCTCTGTCTTCTCGCTCTTCTGTATTATACAATTATTTATATTGCAGAAATGTGCGCGTTTTTTTTTTTTTATGTTTAACGTCAGAGTTGTTCAGAGGTCGAGCTTGACGAGTTGCCATAAACCGGATAGACGGCGTATTTCCTCGCTCTCGTAATCCGGACACGACACACAAATTACGACCCATCCATCCATCCATCCATCCGATTACCCTTCTCTCGTAGGTACCTTTTCCCGCCCGCGTAAGTGCACTCGCGTGCGATGCAGCGCTCGCAAATCGCGTAAGCCACCGCTAGGTCGTTGGAAGAAGATGGAGCAGGGGAGTGGGGAAAGGGGGAACGCAGAAGCGTAAAGATATGCACCCTCGCGAGCTCGCTATGAAATAATCATATGGTTAGCTAATGGCGGCCTCCGGGGTAGCGGCAGAGTAGTCATCTCCCTATCTCCCGCCGCGGAACGTGGCCGCGTACGGGGAACGAGGGGATAATAAATAAATTCGATATATTTGTGCCTCGAGAAGCCCCCCCGCAAACATTCAATGATAGATCGCAATCTCGGGTTGACGGGCGCCGCGCCCCCATTCTCCTTTCCTCCTCCCACCCCTCCCCGAGGCGAACGTGCGTGAAGATCGGGACACGGGATCTTCCTCGTTGGCGCGAATCGTCTCGATATTCTCGTCGCGTACAATAGTCGGTGAATAACAGATTGAGGAATATTCATAGATAGCTATCTCTAAATTACTTCCCGTTAACTGAATCGCTAATTGGAGAATTAATTAACACCATATTTTTAAGACAATACGAGTATATGTTACTTTATATTAATCGCGGGAATACAAGCATAAACGGGACATCTCTTATAATGTGATTTATGATATAAAGATCAAGATTTTGACAGTTTAAAGAAATTGTTTAAAGCTTATTAGTTTCGAAATATATATTTGTATTCTCTTGTGTGAAATAATATTCACGTTGTAAAACATTGTTGTTTTTATACGCCTGTTCTCTTTTTTTTGTTGTTGTATATTAAAAAATTTAATGAAATTTTTGAAACATTGAAATTGTCTCCGAAATTTGATTAATTTCGTAACTGCAACTATGTGTGCTTGCATCATAAATTGTGCGTGTAGAGCGAAAGCATGTTTCCAAAGTTCTAACATTTACCTAAGCGTTAACAAATTTTCTCGCTTCGAACGTTATAACATTCAGAACCGCGTATAACACAATTTTGAGCAGGTAATAAAGTCATATATACTTTACTCACAATTTCACGGGGAATAATTTTTTTTTTAACAAAGATTGAGATTCAATTACGGAGACATTTAATGTTGAGATTCGGGAAACGACAATAAATGACGATCCTCCTCGACATTTTCGCTACGGGAGATATCATCGCCAAATTGGCCGGTCTGCGGTTTACACGAGACACCCCCCTCGTCTCGGCTAAATCGACTAGCGTACCGCCTCAATTACATGATTATGAAAGTATGATTCAATGTTTCGGGTCGCGCGAGAGAGTGAATAGAATCACCCGGATCGGAAGGACTTATCCCATCGGGTTATAAGATTAAGCGATGCTACTATTCACGGCGCGCGCTGACTTTCACGGAACGTAATCCCGCGTGGAGTGAAACGGAAGCGGGACAGAAGAGAGGGTGCGAGAGAGCGAGAGAAAGAGGTGGGGTGGGAGATGGGAGGGTGGAGAGTAGGAGAAGAGATGACTATTCGCCCATCCAAAATTATTGCATTCGAAGACGCGGTCCCCCTCGTCCCAACTGTCGCCCGTGTTGTTTCAGGTTAAGGGGCATGGGAGGGGGGGGGGGGGGGGCAGGGGGTTGTCGTGTA